GGGGTACAGAGACACAGCCGTGCTCTGTTTGTACCGACAGTTTTAGACGGGGGGGGGTACAGAGACACAGCCGTGCTCTGTTGGTACCGACAGTTTTCTAGTGGGGGCAGGAGGGTTCAGCATGAGGGAAGTGGCTGCCTTTAGCTTTTTAGCTGGTGCACCTGTATTGCGAGCTGCTAGTTTAGTGTTGCATCAAGTGCCGACAGGTGGGGGGGCAGGGAGTTCAGTAGACGGGGCGCTCGGTTCTGTTGGCTGGGCGGAGCATCCTGCTTGTGTAATGGTAGGGGAAACATCGCATAATGAACATATAAACTAGGCTAACAAGAACAGACTAATCACTAAAAGAACTATGCTAAACAGCTAACTGAAATGATTAACAATGAACATAAATTTTACCCATAATCCCTCCCTGAGGCCATGTGACCAGCAGTCAACCACAGCAGAGTGCTACAGTAAGTACCGTTAACAGACACAGATACTACAGTAAATGTTTTCAGTGCCGGTAACACAGCAGCGTACAGGAAGTCATTGATCGCTATCTTCAAGCTGTTTGCTCCGCGAGCATGTGAGACTCGCACCAACTTCCATTCTCGCCCCCTCCCCGTTTCATTGGTCCACTGTGATCTGTTCGGTAATTTCATCGGTCGGTTGTTTTTTTAAACTTTATTTATACAGGTAGTCTTACAGAGTCACGAGGACCCACCACCCAAGAGAGATTTGTATTGGGCATCTTTATGAGTGCCCGGGTGTGATGAGGCTAAATGTTTTTGGTAACATCAAGCTGGTTAGCCCATCAAAAACAATCCATAAATTATCTGCAGCGTTGTGTGAGCCACGGAGATGGTGTGTGAAAGAAGTAGCAGCTTATAGTCTGGAAATTACGGTAATTTAAATGCAAAAACTGTGGGCAGGGAAAGAACTGAATGTGGTCCAGATGGGACATGAACTGTGTTGTTGTGTGTTTGTTCTAGTGGCCACTGGTTTCCCAGCAGGCCAGACGCCTCTGGAGACGCGCCTGCAGGAAGTCCTCCTGGCAGTCGGAGACGGTGCAGCGGAAATCGACATCGTCATCAACAGGACGCTGGCGCTCAGCGGACAGTGGGAAGGTTTGTCGTTGGGCTCAGTTTAGAAAGAACTGCTGAGTCTTTGCACCATCACAATCAGTTTTATTATCATTGTACCGAGACCGTGAGATTATGTTCGTACAGTCGTCTGAAAGTTGGGCGGAGTGCACGTTGCTGCTGCTAAAGAGTGGCCCCTTATTCTTTTATCAGAATACTTTTAGATAGAAAGAGGTATTTTTCTTATTGTCAGTTTCAGGATATTTTAGTGACTTCTTCTTGACCAGCGGCAGACAGCGTGGACGCACTTTAAGCTCTTCTTAAAGGAGCTGGTTCCTAATGGGAAATGTTTTTCTGCTTCATAATCAACTCTTGTATTTTACTTTATAAACCCAGTACAGCAGTCTTGTTATGGACTTGACTGACCCATGGTCGTATAGTTTTTATTATTTTTTACATGTCCTCACACTGATGGAGACAAATAAAACCAGACTCGGGGGTCTAACAGGTTTCGGTTGGTGTCTTCGGTCTCTCTGCAGCTGTGTACAGCGAGCTTCGGCAGTTTCGAGAGGCCTGTGGTGAAGCTCACATGAAGGCCATCCTGGCTACTGGAGAGCTGGGAACCTTCACCAACATCTACAAGGCCAGCATGGTGGCCATGATGGCTGGTCAGTCTCACCTCTCAGTGTGCAGTAATGTGTTCCAATATTCAATGTTCAATATTCAATATGTTCCAATAAATTCTAAATTGTCCCGAGGTTTGAGAGAGAGTGAATGGTTGTTTGTCTCTATGTGTCTCTGTGATGGACCTGTCCAGGGTGTCCCCCGCCCCTCGCACAGTGATCGCTGGACATGGGCACCAGCGACCCCTGTGACCCTTTTTTTTTTTTTTAACCCTTTATTTATCCAGGTAGACTCATTGAGCCGCGAGAACTCATTTTCAAGAGAGACCTGTTTAGGAGCAGATGGGGGTTAAGGGCCTTGCTCAGGGGCCCAGGGTGGAGCGAATGAAGATGGGGACAAGTGTGGGTGCTTCACCTACCCCACCCACAATTTTTGATGTTGTCTGGGCCGGGGTGTGAACCGGCGATCTTCGGATCACAGACCCACCTCTCTAACCTCTGCGCCACCCCTCCCCAAAATGGAAGAAACGGGTAAAAGATAATGGATGGATATAGATATGTAGATATATGATTTTAAATCAGTGAGCAATATA